TTACTTTACAATTTATAATTTTTAGAGAGTTGGCTGGAGGACCAAAAGATTAAGCAACTTTGTCAAGGACACGTAGCCAATAATATGTAAGAGGAAGGATTTGAAACCTGGTCTTCCTTTCTTCTTTGGAGTTTTTATTCACTACTGAAAAAGGTAGTAAAGTACAGTCAGGAAGACTGGAGTACAAATCCAGCCTAAGACACTTATTAGCTGTGTGTCCTTGAGCAAGTCATTTAACCTTTGTCTGCCTCAGTTTCCTCATCTGTAAAATGGGTATAATAATAGCAGGGTAGGATAAAATGAGATCATATTTAATAAATACGTGTTAACTAACTAACCAAGGTGCCTTTCCTTTTATTGAGGTCATTTTGCAAATTAAAGAATCACAGAATTTGAAATTTGACAGGGACCTCAGCAGCCAGTTAATCAAATATATACATCAAAGAATCTCCACTAAAACATATCCGACAAATCTCTTCTTGAAGACCTCCAATGAGGGGGAACCCATGACCTTTTAAGGCAGCCCAACTCTTGGACAGCTCTTATTAATAGGAAGTTTTTATTGACATCATGCCTAAATTTGCCCCTTTCAAATTCTACCCCCTTGATCATGTTTCGTTCCCTCCCCCTGCCCCGTGGACTAAACAGGACAAGTCTAATCCCCCTTTACAGGGCAGCCCTTCAAATTCTTTAATACAATTCTCATGTATCCCCCCTGCATCTTCTCTTCTCACTGCTTTGAATTGCCCCTCATTTCACCATTTTGATTGTTCTTCTCTGGGCACTCTAGCTTTATCATTGTGTTTTTCAAAGCCAGGAGTCCAGAATTGATCATTATACTCCAGATGAAGTTTGACAGTAAACTACAGTGGGATTGTTACTTCCTTATTCCTGGAAACTGTGCATTTCTTAATGCTCCCCAAAGTTGTATTAGCTTTTTTGGCTGCCACATCATACTGTTGACTCATACTGAACATTAAAACATCCCATTAAAACATCCAAATCTTTTTCAGGACAGCTGCTCTCTTTCTATGCCTCCCCCATCTTCTACTTGTGAAAGACATTTCATCTTGTTAGATTCAACCTAATGTGCTAACCTGTCAGATATTTTGGAACCCTGACTGTCATTCACTGCATTAGCTATTGTAGCCAGCTTTGAGTTACCTGCACATTTGATGAGTTTGCTGTCAATGCCTTTTTCTAAGTCATTGATAGAAGTGTTAAATTGCACAGGACCAAGTGCAAACCCTTGAAGTACTTCACTGGAGACTTCTCACTATGCTGATAGTGAGGCAGTAACAGAGTCTAGATATTCAACCAGCTTGAAATCCATCTAATTGTTCTTTAATCCACAGCTCTTCATCTTTACAAATTGCTTTCTTGGTTCTGTTTACTTTGTTTCATATTATTTTATATAAAGTTCTCTGAATTTTTAATATTTGTGGTTATTATGATAGAATAGTATTTCACGTATCTCAGTTGGTTTAGCTGTTCTCCACTTAATGGGTACCTACTTTGCTTATAGTTTTTGGGTGACCACAGAGTGTTGCTGTACGTATTTTTAACATAGGTTGTCCCTCTGTTTTATTTTTTTTTTGACTCCTTTGGATATAGGTAATTCTAAAACACTTGGAAAGTACTTAGGACCAGACTTTTAATACTGTTATTTAGTTGCTTGTTTTTCCCTATTGATACAAAACAAGTAATGACCTATGTCCTATTGCAAACCAAAAAGTGCATCTCTGGGCTCCGGTCCTCTGATTGATAGCAAATACAATACTTGGAATTAGAGGTAGGCTAATTAGGCAGCAGACTAGGATACAAAGGGATTAAACAACTATTATTTCTTATAAATTCACATTTTTAATATAAGAAAATTTTCCTTGACATAATACTCTATGTGTATGTGTGTGTGTGTGTGTGTGTGTGTGTGTGATTTCAAGTCATATATATGTGACTTCACCTTACAGTGAAGGCTTAAAATCTCTTGTCAATAATACCTTGGGGTCACAATTTTCACACCTTGTCTAAAGCGCACAAACATGTTCTGCACAAAATGTTATTCATAGATAAACCAGAAAGAACCTGTGAAAAATGTCCCCAAAGGTTTTTGGTCATATTTGATAAAATATTTCCCTAATATGTTTTTCTTTGTATTTTGATTATGTTATTTTCCTGTACATAATTTTAAAATTGTCTTAATTAAGCACATCTCTTTTGTGTTTCTATCTGTTGAGTAGAAGTAATTTTTCCTTTATATTTGAGATTATTGTGTTACCCATCATTATTTACCTTGTAGCTTATGTACTTGACATCTTTTATGTCAGTGGTGTCCAACAAATAGAAAAGGATCCCTGTGGCCTGCATATTGACAATTGACATTATCCACATTGTATTATATTTTAATTTATTTTGTTAAACATAAATTTTAATCTTGCAGCCCCTCCCACTTGGGCAAGGAGATTGACACCTGTGTTCTATGTGACTATTAGACATAATTAAAAATTTTTTGACTGGCAATAACCTTCAACTCCCACTTCTGATAGCAGTGTGGTTTCTTACTCCCCCCAAATTCCTTTCCTCTGGAGTAAGGTTCAATTGTGCACTTGAACCAATTTTGTTCTCTTATCCAGAGTGAGAGGAGGCACTGCTAGAAAAGAAGCAAGGGGGATTCTAGGAATGAAGAAAACCTATGGGGGAGAAAAATCCAAAAAAGTATTTGGATTTAAAAAAAATTGAGTAGCAGCTGGGAAGACAACCCTGTGATGAAATGTACCAGTGATGGGTTACAAGTAACTTTTTCAAAGACATATTGAATTCTTGCCTTGTGATAAACAAAGTTTAGATAAGACATAATCCCCACATTCATAACTGTGTAGTGGAGACTTTGACATATATGTATATATATGTGTACATACACACATCCACGGATAACTAGGACAATATATTTTATATGTCTACTAGAAAAGTATGGAGTGCTATATTAATGATCATTAATACTTGTTGGATGGCAATGAAAAGAAGATCATAGAGGTAATATGGAACCACTAGAGTTTCTTTAGCAGAGGAGTGACAGAGAGGGTGTTACCTGGTCTGAACCTTGAAGAAAACTAAGGATTTTAAGATTCTGAAATCAGGAGGGAGTAATTGTAGGCAAAGGTATGTGAAAAGTCCACAGGGTCAGAAGACAGAATATTGAATCCAGGCAACAGTGGATAGACCAGTTTGGCTGTAATGTGGAGTACATAAGGTGTAGTAATCTAGCAAAGTAGAATGAAATTCATTTGTAAAAGGCTTTAAATGCCAGGCTGAAGATTTATTTTTCATCCTAGAGGCAATAGGGGGCCCCTAGAGATTTTTGAACAAAAGAACAACATGGTCAGACATCTGCTTGAGGATTATCAATTTGGCAGTTGTGTGAAGTTGTACTGGGGAGGAGAGATACTGGATGCATGGAGAATGATTGGGAGGCTATTGAAATTGTCCAGGCCAGCCTGACCGAGTAGGAGAAGGAGACAGGTATGAGAGATGTTGAAGAGATAGAATAGTTGACCAAATGCAGCATGTCATTAGATAGGGGGAATAAGAGAGAGGGAAGAGTCTAGAATATTTTTGTTTTTTACCAGAGACCTTGGGCAAGTCACTTAAATTCTCTGGGCCTTAATATTTTCATCTATAAAATAAAGGGGCTTCACTAGGTGATTTCTAAGGTCCCTGATAGCTATAGAGCTATTTATGATTCCATGATATTATTTTATGAGATCTTACAGCTCCCAAGATTAAGCACGTAGGTGACTAGAAGAATAGTGGTGTCCTCAGTAGAAGAAGGGAAGTTTGGAGGGGTGATTAAGAGAGAATTATCATAGATCATAGATTTGGAGATGAGGAGGCCATCTAATCCAACCACCTCATTTACAAATGCAGAAACCAAGGAGGTTAAATGACTTACACAAGATCACATGAGTAGTGAGTGAGTAGCATAGCCAGGATTCAAAGCCAGGTCCCTTGGCTACAAATCTGGTGCTCTTCTTTTGGACCATGCTGTTTTGGATGTGCCAAATTTGATAGGGCAAAAGTCAGCCAGGAGGAGATGTCCAGCAGGCCATTAGTGATGTGTGACTAATATGAGGACTGTATGTGTACACATACATGTATGTATACACACAGTGTATATATGTATGTGTGTGTGTATATATATGTATATACACACATTATACATACTCATATATATATATATGTATATACACACATTATACACACTCATATAATTTGCACAGGAAAGATAGTAGAACCCATGGGAGAGGATAAGATCTTTGAGAGAGAAGTACATAGAGAAAATATGGCCCTGGAATAAGCCATGGGGCATACTCCTGAAGTTTATTCTCCACTTTAGTAATCTCCCTGCCAAAAAAAAAAAAGGTGCCAGTGTTTGGACAACACATCACTCAATTTCTTGTTGCCGCATATAGATGTTGAAATAAGAGGAAGTGAAATGAGAGCAGTTATAGTAAGGCATGACAGGCAAGTAAAGTTGTGTTACATACTAAGACCATTTGTGTTCCTAATGCACATTAAAGTAAATATGAATTGATAATCTCAATGAATGAGGTGTTAGAGCTACCAATACAAAAATGAAACAGTCCTTGCCCTCATGGAGCTTGTAATTTAATAAGAGAAAAATACATGTGGGGGAGTGGTGGCCAGGGATAGTGTGTTTTGGTTTGGAAAGTCCCAGTGATGGTGAGTGAAGCCTTCGGGGAATTGATTGCCACCCCCTCTTCAGTTGCCTGGATCATTTATTGATTTGATTATGCTTCTCCAAGGAAGAAGTAGGAAATAGTACTGAGAGAAGGGCATAAAGAAAGGCAGGAGGAGGGCAGGAAAACTTTCATATATGTGAAGCTATTTAAGTTTGAAAACTTGAATTATGTAGTTTTCATCATTTTGTGACTTTGTAACTCTGGAAAAATGATAGTTAGAAATTCTTATCTTTATTCCAGAAAGAAGAGAGTCCCTGACTTAACATATGGCTTTCTGCAAAATTCTTATAAGGATGACTGATAAAAAGTACAAAATACAAGTAAGCTATGGAAATGAATATGAGCATTCCTTGAAGGGAAATGTTTCAGCTTATTTGAATTAAACTCAAGAAAGAGCTATATGTTTTCCTATCATGTGTTGTATCCTTAACTTCAAATCGGCTATTAATACTTCATTAAGGGAGTATACAGGGTCTTGTTTTTTTGTTCATTGGTCTGGACCTGTGACCTCATAGGTCTAGGGAGCTCAGGAGGAACTTCCCTCTCCCAGTGTATATCAGCAAGGGTTCTAAAACTTCTTATCTTATGAGAGTTGTTTAGGGCACTGCATGGTTATGAGACTTGCTAGAGGTCACACATAGGAATTAGGTATCTGTGGCAAGGCTTGAACCCAGACTTCTTGGCAGTGTGGCCAGGTCTTTATTCATTACGCCAAACTCAATAGATTCCACAGACCTTGTTGCAGATGAATTTCCTAGTATAAGGATTTCTGAAAGGACTGAAATTGACCGCTACTTGATAGGATTGGGGAACATTAATGATCAAAAAGCATTTGTTTAATAGCTGTGCTTGTTGCTGGGGTAGGTGTCTTTAAACTAATTTTAAACACAGTCACTGTTCTCTGAGACCTATGCCATAAGGTTGTGTTAACTTGGGTAAACCTGTGAAGTGACATGGACATGCCTGCAGTGTGTAGCATTGGAAAACAATGTAAATGTTAGAATATAAGAGACCTTAAAGGCCATCTCATTTTATACACAAACAAATAGGCCATAGGGGGCAGAATTAGTAAAACCACATAACTAGCTAGAGGCAGAGATATGACTAGGACATAGCCCTCTCCAGATCTAGTCTGTTATTCTTTCTATTGTTCCATGTTACCTCTTTAGATTCACTAAGTTTGCTTTTGTTATTTTTAAAGATGTTTTACTGATTCCTTTTGTTTTTATATCCCAGTATTTTCTGCATATTACCATCCTTCCCTCATTCTACCTCCACACTGAACCTTCCTTTGAAACAAAGAAAATAGCTAAGCAAAACTGACTATAATTTTATCTGGTGGTATATGCTAAATTCCATACCCATAGACCTCATCTTTATACAAAGAAAGATGATTTTCTTAATTTGTTCCCTGAGACCAAGATTAATCATTAAGATTACTCTGTTTGGCTTTTTTTAGTGTTCATTTTGTTCACATTATGATAATAATGTACTATTATTTTCCTGGTTCTGCTTTTTTACTCTGTATAAATTCATATATTTTCCCACATTTCTCTGAATTTGTCATTTTTTATGATGTAATATTCCATTACATTTGTATACCACAATTTGTTCATCTGTTGTCCAGTAAATGGGCATACATTTTCTTCCAGTTACTTTTTTTTTGGGGGGGAAGAGTTTGTTTTTTTGCTATCACAAAGATCACTACTAGGTCTGATATTGTCATTCTCCTGCTCAGGAATTTCCAGTTGTTCCATATTGTTACAAGTCATATTACAAACATCTGATTGCTTTTTAAATCCCTTTACAGACTTGTTTGAATCGGTTTTTAAATAGGCTAATTATAAATTGCTATCCATAGTATTGAGTCAATAAATATTTATTACCCACCTACTACTATGTTCCAGGTACCATACCAAGTGTTGGGAATACAAAGAAAGGTATAAGCCAGTCCCTGCCCTCAAGAAACTCACAATCTAATGGTGGAGACAATACAAAAAGAAACTGAAAAGCTGGGGGATGTACAAAGGGGAGAGGGTGAAGATATCTATTACAGGGGCACAGGGTCATGATGAAGTCCTCATGTTGGGGTGGGACAAGATCTGAGGAGTTGAGAGTTTTGAGATGATTTCATCCTGCAGAATGATGAGTTTCTGGAGATGATGAAGTTCAGGAGAGCAGGCAGTGGGAAATGATGAGTCAGTCTTATGGGGTGCTTGGGTGCCTGTGCTTGGACCCCAATTTTTCCCTAGCCTCAGAAATACTATCCCTGGCAGTATCCCTCCAGCCCAAGGACACTGTGCCTAGCAATTACTCATGAGTGGGCCTTAGCAAAACTCTTATCTCTCTCCCTGGTGCAGTTACACAAAGCTGGGTGAAAGAGTAATGGGTTGCTCAGGCCCCAGCCCTAAGATCATGTCTCTGGAAGCCTCCCAATTTCTTAGTAGGCTCCTGTCCTGTGAGAAAATTTTCTCTTGTTGCAGAATGCATTCTCTTATCAGGACAGAGAAAGGTGTGCCTGGCCCAAGGATTTTTGTCCCTAGCTGGCCCAAGGACTCTTCCTTCCTCCAGATTCCCAAATCCATGCCCCTGACCACTCCCTCCCTGTCAGGTGTACTTCCTACACTTTCCCATCCATAGCTCCCAAAGACACCTGGACCTTTAGATTACCTAATCAGTATCCCTGGCATTCCTTTCTCATGCCCTTTTTCATATAAACCTCAGTACCATCCTCAGTCTCTCCCAGGTTCCTTAAGAACCTTAAGATCCTTAAGCCCGCTGAAAAGCGTAACAATAAATCTTTGCCAAGTTGACTCAAAGAATGCTTCAGTCTATGAATTCATTCCAGATGACCCCGTCCTGTACTCTGGCCTTTGAAGGCTCTCAACTTCTCAGACTGCAACAAGTCCATAGTGGACTTTAAATTCCATGCCAGCTTTCTTACTTTGTCATCTGATATTCTCCCTCCCAACTCTGCCCCTTTGCAAAGGTGGGAATGCATTCTCTCCTCCCCTCTTCATCTTGGACCCTCCAGCTCCCTTCAGGTGTGCCTCCTTACCTCAAGTGTTCTTTACTATAGGAGGTCTTTCCTTTTCCTCCTCACTTGTGAGTTCCCTCTCTCCTAAAATTACTTTGTATTTATTTTGTACATATTGTGTATTTATCTGTGCCCATGTATCTTTCTGGTACTGGTAAACTCCTTAAGGGAAGGGTCTGTTTAATTATTAATGTATCCTTAGTGGCTAATAAGTATTTGGTCTTTAATAAATCTTTGTTGAATTGAATTGAATTACTATAAATATTTTCATGTATGTAGTTATTGTTTCTGTCTTTGACATTCTTGTGGTATATGCCCAGTAGTGAGATGACTGGCTGAAAGAATGTGAACAGTTAAGTAATTTTTCTAACGTAATTCTAAATTGATTTCTAGAATGGTTCTTGGATCCACCAACTCAGTGTTAGTATGCTTGTCTTTTCACAGCCTCTGCAACATTTACTATTTCCAATTTGGCAGAGGGTTGAGGTGAAGCTTCAGAATTATTTTAACTTGACTTTTCTCTTATTATTACTGATTTGAAGCAGTCCTTCAAATGGCTGTTGATAATTTGTAATTCTCTTGAAAATTGTTCATATCTTTTCATCATTTGCATATTAAGACCAAGTTCCCTTCCTCACAGTCTCTTTTAGCACAGAATTGGTTCTGAGGTGAGCATCTCTTCTATTTTGTCCAAAAGCATTAGTCAGTTCGTCATGTACTGAGCACCTGTGATGTGCTCAGATCTGGGGCTAGGCCCTGTGAGAGATGAAGAAAGAGTGTCATCAACCAGTCAGTCAACAAGCATTTATTAACCACAAACTCAAACTGTGTTGAGTAATAAAGCTACAAAATAGGGTGGAGCTAAATTGTGAAGGCCTTTAAATGGTCAAGTAGGGGTATCTGTTCTCTCAAAGAATTTAGAAACTCATCAGGGAGAGAAGACTAGTTCATGAAACAGAAAATGGTACTTGAACTTGAAATCAATTGCAAAATTATGTGGTTCTGTGTTTCAACTAAGAAGTGTTTAGAGAAGGGAGAATACTAAGAGCAGCAACAATAATCTCATCTGAATTCCAAAAAATGTCGAGGAAGCTTCTTCCCTCACCCAGATTTTTCAGTAGGAAATTAAGAGGATATATTATAATTTGTAAAATGGAGCTGATACCAGTACATCCTCTTCAGTCATTGCTATCTTTTTGATTAGATTTGGGGATGATCCTAGCCTGTTCTCCTTACTTCTAACAGTGGTAGTAGAAGACATAGCCTACAGTGATACTTAAACATGAGTTTGATTCTAACGGGTAATTAGCAAGGATATGATGATTAATCATTATTCTTTCAGATTCTTTTTTGACTTTTCAAATGAAGTGGCATGTTTTTTAATTAGTCAATCAGCATGACTTGAGAGCCTGAAAAAGGAGTATTGATCCATTCACTGTCACATCAAAAGTAATGTATAATTTGTATTGAATAGAAGTTTCTGACTTTGCCAAAGAGAAAGAGGAGATCATTCTTTAGAGAAAAACATGTAAGCTCTTGGCTTGTTATGATGTGGGTCCTTGCCATTTATATTTGAATAAGTTCTCCACCAGAAGTCTAAGATTAATGTAGGGATAGGAACTGCATCTTGAGAGTTTTTTAATTGGGGGGAACCTCTCATACAGAAAAACTCATTCTTCATAGGCAGGCTAGTACCTTCTCTGAAATTTATAATCTTAGAGATTTGCCTAAAGTTCTGAGAGATCACACATCACAAGTCAGTATGTGGCACAGGCAGACTTGGACCCAGACCTTTTTGGCTCTGAGTGTACCTTTATTTACTTTGCTATGGTAGTTCTCACTAGTGTATGTTCAGCAGACTCTTCTTACCAAGAGGTCAAATTCCTGATAACCTTAGCTATTTGGAACCTGGAAGTAATTCAGAAAGGCCTCTGAACAACAAACAGTTGTCATAATGCCTAGATACTATGCTCTGAAGGAGAGGGTCAGTATCATCCTCATTCTTATCCAGACATATGTGGATAAAATAAGGCCACAGATTAGAAATGAGGAGGGCAGCCCTGCCTTGTGGCAAGAGGTATAGCTGGAAGCAGAAAGTTGAGGAATTTAAAACCAAATAAACAAACAGATAAGTATAGCAGGAATCTGGGCTATAGAGATAAACAGCCTTAGAGACTTCGTTATTCCTTGATGATGTCTCTGTATTTTACCATCACCCCAACTGGTATTGGTATTATATTTTTATATGTTTAAGAAGACAGAGAAACTTATAAGATATTATAA